TAAAACCGTGTGATTTTAACTACTAAGATAGGAGTGGCAAAATCGGAGTAGCCAAGAAACACATGGACGTGCGTTACGACAAAAGCCTAATCATCACACCATGCTCGTCTCCTCCTCAAGCCACAGCCGCCCAAGAAGGCAAACTCTTTAGCCCCCATTTTCAGGTCCACAATGTGGACCCAATCCTGTCTCTTGCTTCTTGCTGAATATAGGAGAATTTTGAAGGATGAGGATATTTTTTGACGTCATTGATAAAAATTAAATTTTTAATCAATTAAATTCAAACCATTAAAATCTGAAAATAAACTATTAAATTCAAGTATCTGGTTAAATCCTGTCTCTTGCTTTAGGAACTCCATCCCGGAATCGTACGGACACGATCCAATTTTCGAAATCTGTACTGCCACGTGAGTCGCTGACATATCTTTCTTTTAATTCCTCAATGCTTTTTGATTCCTTGCAAAAAAATCCTCAGCTTTTAAAACCTACCAATTTGGCCATTTGCAGTATTTATTCTTTTTGTCCGTCAATTTCTCATAATAGAGAATTCATATGATGTCTTATGTAATAAGAAAGCCTTGACGTTACTAACTTACTATAATACCACTTGTGCTACATAATGAGTTAATTGAACTATTTAAAAATTTTATTAATAGTTGAAATACTTACTAATTATAAATATGTACTATTAAAATCTATAATATTATAATATTTTTGTATACGGTAATGATTTCTGGACCAAAATTTAGGACACAATTTTTTTAATCATCGATCATGTGGACTCACATAAAACCTACACCTTGATCAATGATTATAATAAATTTGTTATAAAAATTGACTTTCTATTGTCATTATTCTATTTTTTTGTATAGCATTATTAATAACATTAATATTATTTACATGTGTACTTTCCCATTTCTCTTTGTAGCCTTCTTAAGGATCAATAATTTGGGAGTCGCCTGAAGAAAAAGATGAGTTGAATAAAACAACTAAAATAAACAAAAGTCAATTTTTCACATTGAAGAAAGGTTGCCGGTTTAGACGGCAGACCAGATAATAACGGGCCAGTATATGACGGTCTCGAATGTCCAAAGCAATTGACAACGAAAGCACTGCTCCTTTATGTATACCTCCCCTGAACTGTATCAGATCTCATATCTCATTTCCAATTCAATTCTCTCAATCTAGGACTTTTCATCAACATGGAGTACTGGCCTCTAGATATCACTCTAATCTCCGCCCAGGACCTCAAGGATGTCAATCATCTCTTCCCGATGAACGTCTACGCCGTCGTCACCATCAACGGAACCGAGAAGAAGACCCCCGTCCACAAGCACTGTGGTCCCAACCCCGAGTGGAATTGCACCATGAAATTCCACGTGGACGAAGCCGCCGCCAACCAGGACGGCCTTAATCTCGTGATCCGTCTCGTGTCAGATCGTCATCGTCATGGACCTCCTGGTTTCGTTAAGGATAAGGATATTGGGGAGGTGGTGGTTTCTATCAACCAATTACTTGCTTCCGAAGAGAAGGTTTTCGATCGCAACGTCACGTTGCAGCCGCAAGGTACACTGAATTTGCGTTTCGAGATTGGGGAGAAACTCGAATATACTGATGCCGTGCCACAAGGTGCGTCCCAACAGCCGCCACAACAGCCAGCGGGCGGATCTTTTCGCAGGCGGCTCTGGGCGGATCTTTTCGCAGGCGGCTCTTCGAATTTGCTGTTCATGCTGCTGTTGATGCTGCTGTTGATGCTGCTGTTGATGCTGCTGTTCATGCTGTTGTTGATGGTGCTGTTAATGCTGCTGTTGATGCTGCTGTTGATGCTGTGGTTCAGTCTTTCTTTTGACACATGGCGAAAAACATACATACAGCTGGCAGGATTAGTATTATATTTTATACATTGTTGTTTTTCTTCTCCTTTTA